GGGCGTTGATAGAGGCCCAAAAAGTCCTCGATTTCAAAGGTCAGCGGAGTATATAGTGATACCGGAAGTTCAATAGACAGACTGGCCTGATACATTACTCCAATGCTCGTCATTGAACAATTATCAAATGAATAAAAGACATGTCAGATCTATTTGTAGTTTTTCAATTTTCGCTGTACTAACAATTAATATCAAATGATCGATTTGTAGTTCTGCAATTTTGATAAAATTGTTGTACTCATTTTTAATGAGTTTTCCACCGGATCGGTTTTCAGTTACAAAGTAGTGTTAACTCTGTTAACAAAATAAACTATCATATTGTCAATCATTTAAACACTTTGATGTGATTACATTCTCTTCGAAATGTCGGAGGGAGCATCGAAAGTGCAGTCTATCGTAGAGAGTGAGATCAACATTTTATGGTAAGAACGTGTAATTTGGAAAGCCAGGTATATAATAAAGATAAGGTATAATTAATGAAATTAAGAAAAATACAGAATAAATGAATAACTAAATGAATAAAAATAAAATAAAATAATTAAATAATAAAACAATTAAATAGATAAATAAATAAATAAATAAATAAAATAGATAAATAAAAAATAAAAAGGAAAACGGAGGATAATTAAAATTTATTGGTGTCTATATCTATAAGGTGTAGATAATATGTATATGTGGATAATAGTGGCTAGTATGGAACGAAAAGAATAGTACGTTTGCTTGAACGTGTAGGGCGTGTTTGAACAATGAAAYAGTATATGTGWGGTGSACTTGSAGCATRAAATAACAAGAGAGTATGAGACGATGATAAGCGTGTTAATGAAGGAATTGTAGAAATAAGGTATAGTAAAAAATATATCATGATCGCTTTAAATATCAATTACTAGCATTTCTAAATCAGTACGTATTTCAATCATTTAGGCATCATTTAGGCAACTCTATCTATATCTGAAATAATATATCTTTTTGTTGTAATAGTAGCCTTTCATGTATATTAAAGCTTCTATCCTGCAACTTTGTACATCACGCTTTATATCACGCCAGTCTGTGTATTGAACTTCCGGTATCACTATGTACTCCGCTGACCCTTGAAATCGAGGACTTTTTGGGCCTCTATCAACGCGTTCCTAGCCGCTCCGAGAGAGTCTGGTCCGGAGAGACCCAGAAGGGAACTTTCTATTAACTGGGTGCCAGTGTTACCTGAGTTGAAAAGTATGTGGCTATAATTCGCCCGTACCTATTATTTGGCCGTTATGATGGGGTGACCGAATTAAGAGGTGGTCGTAGGGAGGGTTTCCACTGTCATTCGATTTTACCTCATTTTTTATTTTTAACACGATATCTCCTGGTTTAAGCGTTGTTTCCTGGTCAGCGGTTAMGGTGACCTTGATTTGYTCTGTATTTTTGTCGTCTTCTGTGGTTTCCATGGGAATGTCATCAAAATGYTGTTCTTCTTCCTCTTCAAGAAATCGTTCTAAAGTCTCTTTGACATGCATTCGAGCATAATTCTGCAGAACTCGTGATAATGAACCAACTAGAACATCAAGATGTGAAAGAATATATAAGTAAGCCTTGTACCTGATAGTGCTTATGTCTGTCGCTTTGCTTTTATTCTCGGCAATAAATCGAGTGCTGCTTCAACCGTCCTTAGCYTAAGCGGGTGGTGCTACGCAAATACTGATACGGTTGATATTTTAACCGGGTGATCGTATAATCGGGTGCTCTAATCGCGTATAGTCGGACAGCACGACCCGGTGAAGTTAGACCTTCTTTTATAACCAAACACAGCTTGCTATATTTTCGAATCGTTCGGATGTATTATTAACAAAATAGTCGCGCGTTATTTATCGGATGCGATATGTTCAAAAGCCGAACAGTGAGCAGACTACAGCTCCCATCATGCTGTGCGCGACGCTGGCCATTATACGGTCCTATAAATTTGATGGACCTATACTAGGCGATTTAGAGGTACGATTGTCACGTGCAACTTGTAGTATACGATTTTCTACGACTAGGATTTGATCTGTGGTTCAAAATCCTACAAACTCCTCTGGTATTTGAAGCTAATTTGAGTCGTATACTACAAGTCGCACGTGACAATCGTACCTGTAAATCGGCCTTAATTGGTCCTACAACTGGACCACGGATTATTGCTAAAATGTGGTGATGGCCAGAAGATATCACAAGCTAGCTGGTAGTTTATAATCGGATGGTCTAAAACTGTAGCCCTCCACTACAGCATGGCCCAGAACCGTACCCTGCACTGAGCCTATTGTAATAGTCCTATTTAACAATTAGACCTCGAGGTCGAGTGGACTACGAGCTATATAGCCCATGAGGCCGAGTCCGCGAGGCCGAATGGGCTATTAACTAAGGCTGTCCACAAGTTGCTCGGCAACTTTTGGGCAACTTCTTGAATTCCGAGCAACTTTTTCACTTTCGAGCAACTTACAGCAACTTTTGATCTTTTTAGCATTTTTTGTTCTTTTTCTGACTTTTTCAGGGTTTAAACCACGTAATCTATTAAAAAAGAGTAAACTTTGTATTTTCAATACTGATTTTTATAAATGTACTTGATCAAACAATTGTTGTCTTTAGAGTGGGCTCCCTGTGTAAAATAAGGTTGAGCTGGCATGGGACTCGTTTCATTTGTAAACAAAATGGCGGACGGATTTGAACGCTCCAGTGATTCAGATTCATTCAGATTCAGGACAATTGAGCCCTTTTTCGATTAAACCGTCTAATTGATTAAAAAAAATAAACTTTATGTTTAACAACTTTTGGGCAACTTTTTGATTTTNATCTTTGTCTTGCGACGCCGAATAATATATGCTACAAAAACCACGCTAATCTCTTACCATGCTGTCTTCATTGATTGACAGTAGTTGTCAGAACGAATTTACGTGATTGGCTAAATCTATAACTAAAATTACTATTTAACTATTATGTCAGTATTGGTACTGGGACTATAAATGTTTACATAAAATCACTTGGCTACATTAAGATAGATGACCTTTATATCAGGATTTGATTCCAATGATGCCATGGTAGGCTTTGATTTAGTTTGTACATGTGAGATTCTCTTTTTTGATTCGAACTTCTTTCTTTCAAGAAGGCTTTTGGAGTGATATTTTWTTTTTGATTACTTTACCAAAATTTAAGTTTAGCTTCTTGAAGATTTACGCTTCGCTATCCATCACAAGCAATTCCCCTAGCGTGTCTTGATCTATTATGTCTTCATAAAAAAGAATCAGTTACTTATCAATGCCTGAAAAGACTCGRTTCCAATTCACTTTTAATATTCATTATATTTTGAACTCCGCATGACTGAAAAAACAGCGGATCAGAGGTTTSAGCGTAGTCCAGAGGTAGATGTAAGAATGTCTTGATACTATAAACTTCTAACTTCCATTTTACTTGTATAAACATATMAAAAATATGTCTTCATAGTTGAAATAATCATGAAAGACACATACACTTGAGAAGTGCAATGGACGAAATGAACGCATGAATTTGTAGTCACTARAGGGTGAAAATGGCGGCGGGCGACTSGACATACTTGCATGAAGAAGAACTACCTACAATAAAACAACTATTTGATTTTGTTTGTGGTGTAAAATGTTACTGTGAAAGAGGATAAAATATCATAAAACGTTATTGCATAAAAAAGTTATTKTATAMCAAAATCTTGTCGAACAAAACGTGTGTTTTGSCGGAAAGCACTTTTAACGGGCTTTTGGCAAACGATTGCTTACTTACCTTCAAAAGCTTGGGCAATTTCATCTCCGAAAAGACCTCTAATTTTCGTTAATATTAATTCTTCAGCGTTTTGATCGCAGCTTACTTGTTCTTCCGTACTTTTCGATTCAATAACTACCTAAGCTATAAACCAACACGCCACTTCGATCTTGCCGTCTCTATGAAGACTGAAAGCATGGTTTGCAATCACAGACAGTACGTGCTTTCTTATTGGTTCAAAGAAGAACAGTATATAAACTCAACCGGGGTTGGTCAAAAGTTCCCACCACTTCAAGTAGCCGCTGACACTAAAATTTGCGGGCTCATTTTATTATAAAAGCGCGGGAATTTTGCAATAAAGCTTCCAAAGAGTTTACATTTATTATCMTTATWTTTTTATTAATATCTGTGAAGCGAGAAGGATGAGACAGTTACCTTGTTTAAAGCATATATAGAGAATCGTTCCACGAGAAGCGCAAGTAGAACGTGAAAACGTGCCGGGCGCAATATTATCCTTACCAGGTCGATATACTATGTCAAAGCTATAGCAGCTCAGTTCAATTCTCCATCGCATTATCTGAATAAAGAATTCTGACTTTGTGTTTTTTGACTGAGTTGTCAAGAATTTTGTCTATGTGACTGTCGTCTATCTCTACAAATCTCAAGTAGCTTCTGCAGCTTCTGTAGCTTCTAAAACGTTTGATAGCTCTTCTTCTGGGATATCATCCCAGAGGACATCATAAATAGGCATTTCTTCGTTCATTGTTCTTGAAAATAAATGATAACAACCTGAGTGGCGCTGTTTGAAAAATAAGAGATTTGCCCGAGCCAGTAAGGAGAATAACAAGGACATCTTTTCCAAGAACAATCTCTTTAAGAGCCTTTTGCTGTATTTCTCTAAATTCGTCCAAGCTAAACGACTTCAGAGCGTTCAAACAAGTATTTTCAAAGAGAATCTCAAACGACGAATTGTCCGTCATTTGGTAACACTGCGACCACGGCTGCCTGCTAATTTATTAATGATATGCCCCTGAAAATATCGGGGGCCACTCGCTGATTGGTCGAGACTGACAATAGCGAACCCCATGCGCCCAGCCGTCAGGGGAGAGAGTATTGCGGGCGCACGAAATCCCGACGGCTGGAGACTGAGCCTAAACAGTGAGCAGACTACAGCTATTATACGGTCCTATAAATTTGATGGACCTATAAAGGCGATTTACAGGTACGATTGTCACGTGCGACTTGTAGTATATGATATTTCTACGACTAGGATTTGATCTGTGGTTCAAATCCTACAAACTCCTCCGGTATTTGAAGCTCATTTGAGTCGTATACTACAAGTCGCACGTGACAATCGTACCTGTAAATCGGCCTTAATTGGTCCTACAACTGGACCACGGATTATTGCTAAAGTGGGGTGATGGCCAGAAGATATCACAAGTAAGCTGGTAGTTTATAATCGGGTGGTTTAAAAATGTAACCCTCCACAATAGCATGGCCCATAAACGTACCCTGCATTGAGCCTATTGTAATACGTGTGGACTACGAGTGGACTACGAGTGGACTACGAGCTTATAGCCAATGAGGCCGAGGCTGCGAGGCCGAATGGGCTATTAGCTCGTAGTCCATGAGGCCGAGAGGTCTAATTGTTTTAGTATAAACATACTAATCGGTCAAATAATGAAAACAAATTGAAATATCCTTAAAATAATTTATNATTTTTGACCGGGGTTTTGATACTGTAATCAAACATGGTTTTCGACCAATCACAGCGCGCGTAGTATCCTAAATATTATAGAATGTGAAATAAAGACCTTTATCACATTAAAAACTTATAGAATATGTTACTGATTGAGTCATTTGCTAATACCATTCTGTATGATGACAACAATGACGTGAGTTATTTTTTCTTTATAGTACATTCAATAAAATAATACATTCTGATTGGTCGAGAGGAGTACAATTACAGCGTTAATTGTACTCCTTAATTAAGTTGAATGTACTAAACAAAAAATCGCACAACCTCACGTACAATTTGGAATTAATAGTCACTCGTAATGTTTTGAAAGTTCTCAAATTACGAGAACTTTCAAAACATTACTCRTGACTATTAATTCCAAATTGTACTCAAGGTCGTGCGATTTCCTATACAAAACATAACAAAACTTGTTTCATTGCATATTGCACTGTATGTACTGTCAAAGGTAATTCAATACAACAATTTGTTTAAATTTAGGAAAACAACATCGATTCTAACCTCACTCAAGATGAAGCCCGTGGAATTGCCAGAAGTATGCATGTTGAACAGCCTGAGCAAACCGAAAACCCTGAAGACTTGAAGAATGAAATCCGTACTGCAAGCAARTTGTTCCATAAAGATGCAGAGGTTTTCTACATCAACAAGAAATCTGCAGAGAAGTACAAAKAATCACTAGAAGACAAAAGAGATTCAGTGACGTTCCATGCTGACAGCTTGGTGGTCAATAATAATGTCATTTTCAAACGTGTAGATAATCGGGTATCCAAGGAAATCCTTGTCTRCAAGATTTGTCCCAATAAGCAAGAGTTTGTTGTGGAGCACCAAACAACTACTTCCTCTGTCGAGAAGCGAAGGATTCGATTCCCGCTCAATAATGTAATGGGGCTGCATATATCAACAACTACAATCACAGTTGATATCTTCAAGGCCCCACACTTGGAGTCAAAAGTAAAATCCATCCGAGCGGAGAAAATGGCATTCCCATCAAAGTGGAACACTGTGGATTTCTTCAATCCTTGTGCAAAGTTCAGAGCTACAATTGTTTCTTTGGAAACGCCGATAAGCTCTAAAAGAAAGACTGCAAAAGTACGACGTTCTACGTGGATGTGTACTACAAGACAGCTACCCTTCATTTAACACTTACAGACGCGAGAAACCGTCTGAAATGATGCCAATACTAAAGGATCSAGTATTAGTACGAGCCGCCCAGTTAGCCATACTGGAAGTGGAAAAAGATCCAAAAGCACTACAAGATGTGGAGTACTTGGTGAAAMTGTACCAGGGAATTACGAAGGCATTCCGTTCTCGTCTTAGCAAGCGACTTGGTGTTAAATCGAGCGTCTTTAGCCATGAACTATAACTTAATGAATGTAAATAGTAGAAATTATTTGTTTTAAATAATTTCTAGCCATGAATATAATCATTTTGATTCAATAAATGTAATTATTTCCTCTCCATTCGCATGGTTTTGTCCGCCATTTTGTTTCTGTTTACAACGATCAAAGCGTGCAATGTCGTATGGGATGGATTCTTTTTTTGCAAACGCTCTTCGTAATCCGATTTTCTTCAGATCACCTGGAGTAATTTGCAATAAGTTTGCAATGGRTAAACTGACATGCTGTTCATTTTACAAGGATAACGTTAACGCTATCAGCYAGTTGCATCTATTACATCAAGAGTGGACTAACATCCGCCTTTTGTGTGCAATAGAATTACCTGTAGCTGTAACGATCCAAAAATATATTATAAGCTAATTATTATTGAGTTCATACCTGTAGATTTTTGCTGACTCTTTGAGAATCGGCACTGTGAACGAACTTTCTGTAAAATTGTCCTTGCATCCATTTTTTCGAGGCCTTTGACTCCTTTAATCTTTTCTCGTACTCAGCTAATGGTTACTTTCTCTTGCTTTATATGAAGCTCAGCTTTCTCATCATTGTTTAGACCTTGCTTGCTTACAGTATTCCTCTCGCCACCATTCTGATGCATGCCATCAACAACATTTACCTTTCCTCTTTTCTCCAAATCCACACCATCTTGTCGCTTCTCATTGTCATCTCCTTTCTCNGAGTACAATTACATTTTACCGAATGTACTATAAACAAAAAATCGCACAACATCTTGTAAAATAGTCACGGGTAATATTTTGAAAGTTCTTCGTAATTGCACGAGCCCGATCAAGGTCGTGCGATTTCCTATACTAATTTGACAGTTATAAGTACAACATGGATATATAAATAATAGGTTATAGGACTCTATACTTTCCTAAACGTCCGAGTCCAGTTTGACAGTCAAATGGTTTTTCGGCTAATTAATTTCTTATTTGGACAGCATGGATTTCTACTACATATAATAATAGTCTTCTTCACGGTTCCCTGCGCCATCTTGAAAGGTAGCCGTGCCTTTGCATCGAAGCGAGACGACCGTTGAGTTTGCAATGATAGAAACCTTCTTTCACACCTACAGACAATAGACTTTTGAACCTTTTACGTCACTCATTGATTTTCAATGCATTGTGGGATCAATTTCAAGAGAAAACAAAAGAAATCCGCCATGTTCTGTCCCAAACATATCCTACAATGCATTGCGTATACGGTACATGACGTAAAAGCTGCGCAGAGGTCTATTATTCACARGTATCTATCTCGCTTCGATGCAAAGGCACGGCTACCTTTCAAGATGGCGCAGGTAACCGTGAAGGAGACTATTGTAATGCTATAAGCACAAAAACGAATGAAGCTGGTTGGCCTTTCACTGGTGCACTTCTTTTGAAATGTCACACATCTGTAACTTTTGCTGGCTAAATGTGTAGAAATCATGAATATATATAACAACGATGACCTCATCTGGAGGACCACATGGGAAACAAAAGTGACTTTTGCTGTCTTATGACAGCGGCTTTGCTCCCCAGATTGAACTACGTTTCCATGACCTGCTRCAGAGAGTCTGTACTTTTTGCATTGTTGTAACTAAGTTATGTTAAGGGTACCTATCAAAGAGTTTTCGAAATGTTTCTCTTGTAAGATGGCCACAATTTCTTGATATTTTGTCAATCCCAATGAATGTCTGGAAATAGAAATCAAAATTAAACTTAAAATCTTAACCAGCCGCCRTAGACCTTTACTAACTGCGCATTGCATTGTGGTCTAGATTCGGTACAAACAACTTTTAGTGTTGCAGTCAATCAATATGGAGTTGCTTTTAATAATGAGCCACATTGCAGCCTAATGCAGAAAGGATCAGAACTACTCGTCGATATTATACAATCTCTATACTATCTACTACACAGTTCCCAGCGCCATTTCAAAGGCAAACGTAACTTTGTGTTCCCGACTTCCTGTTTCAAGACCCACTTAGCAGTAGTTTTGGCACAAGGATGCGCGAGCCATAGATGAAGGCCACAAATCTTTAACTAGACTAGTAGTGTTTGTAAGCTCGCTAGTAGTTGTGAAAGAAGGAATCTAACGCCTAGTGCAAAACAATTAATAAGGTCCTTTGTCACTAGATTAGACGTGGACATTTTTTAGATAGTAAGTACGTTCCCACAGCAAGGTACCGAAATATTTTCTTTGCATCAAAAAGAGCAATTGCTTGCTCTGCTCCGCTTCGTGCGGTATTGAAAATTTCTGGTTCATTGTACCGTCAGCGCATGCGCATATTTTCTACACAAAACACTTGTATCAGTCCCAAGCTGAGAAGAACCTAACACACCGGTTGTTTCAAAATGGCGCCGAGAACCGTGACGAGGACAATGGTTAGTACTTCATTTAAGACCCGACCCGATATATACCCCAAACCTAACTCTAATCCTAATACAGTAATATTATAAGTGCCCCTTCATGGGGTATTATGTGAAGTACTGACCAGGACAATTTACCTTCTTAATGACGTCATACTTGTCAGTCACGAGCTCTCCTATATCTGCCAATAGCTGTTATTCAAAGAAAACCAATCAGTTTTGCTGTCATAGTAATCATGTAATCACGTGATTTACCTGGTCAAYGTCACGTGTTTCCACCTGCGTGGGGGGTCTTATACTTTGGACGGTTGCCGGTCGTGTGGAAGCGGGTCGTGGTGATCGTGCTGGTGTTGTCGATGGACGATCGMTTGGWGGAGTCATTGGCGCCACATTGTTTTCACATGATTCATTAGTAGTAGCACTATTACAAAAACAATGTTAATATACAACTTCCAATATTTAGAAGAATCACAGGCATCGCAAGCAGTCAGTGATTACATGAAATGAATGCTTTAACGTAAAATACGATCAAGGGCGGACATTGCGCTTTTCAAAAGGGGTACACTGTCGACAAAAATGACGGTGAATTTTCGCTTAGTACTTCAATAACCTACTTATCTTGAAAATAATGAATAAACGATTCCACCCCCACCCCCTAAATCCGCCCCTGGCGATTGCAGACGTGTCAAGMGTACTGTATTGTATAATGGGAACACCAAATATGGCCACYTAGGTCRCACTTTACGTCATACCACTATGTTGGACCAAATGAATATTGCAAAGCATCCTTGGCATGGTCGGTTTCTCTCAGGCTTACTCAACATTTCCACATAACTCTTTTATTTACTTTTCTTATTGTTTTCTTTTCTAAAGGTGATCCTTCGTCATGTGGTTGCAAACCAAGAATGATAAACGTCATTGTCTTTATAGTGCAAACTTACTGTACCTTTGTGGACTAAACGCTTCAAGAAACTTTCCATATAACACCAGTCCATCGTCAGCCTCGGCACCAGTCTTTTTTAGTAGGTCGGTGGTTTGTTTTCGCGTTAACTGGATCCCAAACCGAGCTGACAGCACTTCTTGGAATTGGTATTTCTTTATCACTCCCAGGCTTTCTCGGTCAAGTTGCCTATTATAAAAATGAAAAACACCTATTAGTACATTTTGACGGGAGAAATGAAACGTTGGTGAATTCGTCTTTCACTGAACATTTCTCAGGTGTCATATCATCAAGAACAAGAAGAACAAGAAGAACAAGAAGAACAAGAAGAACAAGAAGAACAAGAAGAACAAGAAGAATTATCAAAACAACAAGAATTATAGGCAGAATATGAGAAACGAAAAGAAACAACAGCA